GGGGCCAACATCAGTCACCTACTCTACATGGATGACATCAAGCTGTATGCCAAGAGTGAGCGAGACATCGACTCACTGATCCACACCACCAGGATCTACAGCACTGACATTGGGATGTCATTCGGACTAGAGAAGTGTGGTCGGCTGATCACAAAGAGGGGGAAGGTCATCCGCACAGAAGGGGTCTCACTCCCAGAAGGAACAATAGCAGACATAGAGGACAGTTACAAGTACCTAGGTATACCACAACAAATGGCAACCTCGATGAGGTCACAAGGAAAGGAGCCACAGCTAAATACCTCCAACGAATAAGGCAAGTCCTGAGAAGCCAGCTCAATGGCAAGAACAAAATCCGTGCAATAAACAGCTATGCCCTGCCAGTAATCAGATACCCTGCTGGAATAATTAGCTGGCCAAAGGAGGAGATAAAGCCACAGATATTAAGACCAGAAAGCTACTAACAATGCATGGAGGGTTCCATCCCAAATCCAGCACCCTGAGACTGTACGAGCCACAAGGACGGAGGCAGAGGACTAGTGAGTGTGAGAACCACTGTCCAGGACGAAACAACTAAGATCCATAAATACATCAGGGACAAAGCCTGTGGTCATCGGGGCCCTCGGGGCAGTAACCCCCAAACTGGATCAATGGCTACAACAGATCCCAGGAACAACATCAGACATCTCAGTCCAGAAATGTGCAGCAGTCCTTGGCACAAGATACTGCAGAACCCTCAAGCTCCCAGGCCTCTGGCCTGGGAGCTTGAGGGTAGAGGACCCGGTAGAGGACCCGAGCTCAGAGGATAAGAACCACCCGCGGTGGGTGAGAAGGGAATTTTATATATATATATATATATATAATACCAGAGGCCTGGGAGCTATATATATATATATATAGATAGATAGATAGATAGATAGATAGATAGATAGATAGATAGATAGATAGATAGATAGATAGATAGATAGATAGATAGATAGATAGATAGTAGATAGATAGATAGATAGATAGATAGATAGATAGATAGATAGATAGATAGATAGATAGATAGATAGATAGTAGATAGATAGATAGATAGATAGATAGATAGATAGATAGATAGATAGATAGATAGAATTCTAACACCAGAAAAAAGCCTTTTAATAATTTTACATTATAAAATGTATATGGTATGAACATGATTATGTATTTATTAAGGAATAAAATGAAAGTAAAACAGTTCAGTATATTACAGTTCTGTGTTCAGACAATGAAATATATCATGTTCTTAATTATTCAAATAAAATATTTTTTATGTTCTACAATAGATTTCTTTGTGTTGAATAATAATTTTTTATACAGTAAAGTTGTACAACTTTTTGGTTATAATGTGATACTAAGCAATAAACTATATCATAATCTGCTGGTTGTATAAAAACAGAAGAAATTAAACCCCACTTTGTTGCTATGGTTACACATCTGATGACTGTGCAAGATTTAAAAAAATCAGGATTTAAAAGAATGTTTAGATCAATGAATGAAAAAACTAAAACATCAAACAGAGAAACATTTAGAAAATGAATATTACATATTCACTGTGTGGCCAAAATATGTAATGATTAAATCCTAAGAGCAATTTAGTAGCATTTATTAAAATATGAAAGAAAAAAGAGTACAATAAAAACAAAAACATGCAGCTATTGAAATAAAAACATTAACAAACACTGAGGCATTTAAAACGCAGTAATTAAAGCTGTGAAACCAAACTGCTGTAAATATGTAGTTTTCCATATTGATATTTTTCCATATTGATATTTTTCCATATTGATGTTTTTTCATATTGATATTTTTCCATATTGATGTTTTTTCATATTGATGTTTTTTCATATTAATATTTTTCCATATTGATATTTTTCCATATAAATTTTTTTCCATATTGATGTTTTTCCATATTGATAATTTTTCATATTGATGTTTTTCCATATTGATATTTTTCCATATTGATGTTTTTTCATATTGATATTTTTCCCTATTGATGTTTTTTCATATTAATATTTTTCCATATTGATATTTTTCCATATAAATTTTTTTCCATATTGATATTTTTCCATATTAATATTTTTCCATATTGATGTTTTTCCATATTGATATTTTTCCATATTAATATTTTTCCATATTAATATTTTTCCATATTAATGTTTTTCCATATTGATATTTTTCCATATTGATATTTTTCCATATTAATATTTTTCCATATTGATGTTTTTCCATATTGATATTTTTCCATATTGATGTTTTTCCATATTGATGTTTTTCCATATTGATGTTTTTCCATATTAATATTTTTCCATATTGATATTTTTCCATATTGATGTTTTTTTTATTGATTTTTTTTTGATTTTTTCATATTGATTTTCCATATTAATGTTTTTCCATATTGATATTTTTCCATATTGATGTTTTTCCATATTGATGTTTTTCCATATTAATATTTTTCCATATTGATATTTTTCCATATTGATGTTTTTCCATATTAATATTTTTCCATATTGATATTTTTCCATATTGATGTTTTTCCATATTAATATTTTTCCATATTGATGTTTTTTCATATTGATATTTTTTCATATTGATGTTTTTCCATATTGATGTTTTTCCATATTGATATTTTTCCATATTGATGTTTTTCCATATTAATGTTTTTCCATATTAATGTTTTTCCATATTGATATTTTTCCATATTGATGTTTTTCCATATTAATGTTTTTCCATATTGATATTTTTCCATATTGATGTTTTTTCATATTGATGTTTTTCCATATTAATATTTTTCCATATTGATATTTTTCCATATTGATGTTTTTTCATATTGATATTTTTCCATATTGATGTTTTTTCCATATTGATATTTTTCCATATTGATGTTTTTCCATATTAATGTTTTTCCATATTGATATTTTTCCATATTGATGTTTTTCCATATTAATATTTTTCCATATTGATATTTTTCCATATTGATATTTTTTCATATTGATATTTTTCCATATTGATGTTTTTCCATATTAATATTTTTCCATATTGATATTTTTCCATATTGATGTTTTTTTCATATTGATATTTTTTCATATTGATGTTTTTCCATATTGATGTTTTTCCATATTAATATTTTTCCATATTGATATTTTTCCATATTGATGTTTTTCCATATTAATGTTTTTCCATATTGATATTTTTCCATATTAATATTTTTCCATATTGATGTTTTTTCATATTGATATTTTTTCATATTGATGTTTTTCCATATTGATGTTTTTCCATATTAATATTTTTCCATATTGATATTTTTCCATATTGATGTTTTTTCATATTGATATTTTTCCATATTGATATTTTTCCATATTGATATTTTTCCATATTGATGTTTTTTCATATTGATATTTTTCCATATTGATGTTTTTTCCATATTGATATTTTTCCATATTAATATTTTTCCATATTGATATTTTTCCATATTGATGTTTTTCCATATTAATATTTTTCCATATTGATATTTTTCCATATTGATGTTTTTCCATATTAATATTTTTCCATATTGATGTTTTTTCATATTGATATTTTTCCATATTGATGTTTTTCCATATTAATGTTTTTCCATATTAATGTTTTTCCATATTGATATTTTTCCATATTGATGTTTTTCCATATTAATGTTTTTCCATATTAATGTTTTTCCATATTGATATTTTTCCATATTGATATTTTTCCATATTGATGTTTTTTCATATTGATGTTTTTCCATATTAATATTTTTCCATATTAATATTTTTCCATATTGATGTTTTTTCATAATGATATTTTTCCATATTGATGTTTTTTCCATATTGATATTTTTCCATATTGATGTTTTTCCATATTAATATTTTTCCATATTAATATTTTTCCATATTGATGTTTTTTCATATTGATATTTTTTCATATTGATGTTTTTCCATATTGATGTTTTTCCATATTAATATTTTCCATATTGATATTTTTCCATATTGATGTTTTTCCATATTGATGTTTTTCCATATGAATATTTTTCCATATTGATATTTTTCCATATTGATATTTTTCCATATTAATATTTTTTCCATTGATATTTTTCCATATTGATTTTTTTCCATATTTATATTTTTCCATATTAATATTTTTCCATATTGATGTTTTTTCATATTGATATTTTTTCATATTGATGTTTTTCCATATTGATGTTTTTTCATATTAATATTTTTCCATATTGATATTTTTCCATATTGATGTTTTTTCATATTGATATTTTTCCATATTGATATTTTTCCATATTGATGTTTTTCCATATTAATATTTTTCCATATTAATATTTTTCCATATTGATATTTTTCCATATTGATATTTTTCCATATTGATGTTTTTCCATATTAATATTTTTCCATATTGATATTTTTCCATATTGATGTTTTTCCATATTGATGTTTTTCCATATTAATATTTTTCCATATTAATCTTTTTCCATATTGATATTTTTTCATATTGATATTTTTCCATATTGATGTTTTTCCATATTAATATTTTTCCATATTAATATTTTTCCATATTGATGTTTTTCCATATTAATATTTTTCCATATTGATATTTTTCCATATTGATATTTTTCCATATTAATCTTTTTCCATATTGATATTTTTTCATATTGATATTTTTCCATATTGATGTTTTTCATATTGATGTTTTTCCATATTAATGTTTTTCCACATGCTCTCTCTGTTACTGACATCAGAACTGTTAAAGATGAACGTCACAGAAACAGAGAAGTTTAAATGTCTGGTATTTTCAGGCAGGTTCCGGTTCTGGTTCTGGTCCCGGTCGGTTTACCTGCGCCGCCCGCCGCGCCGAACAGGCCGCTGGCGGCCCGGGCGGTCCAGCTGCCCTCCGGGAGCCGGACGGACCTGCAGCCCGGCGGAGGGACCCCGCACATCTGGAGGAGGCCGCCGGCAGGTCGCTGCGGGTCAGGGAACAGCTGGAGGTCACTGCGGGTCACGATGCGCCATCATTTAGCGGTTCTGACGAACTGTTGAGCTTCCGGGGCAGAACCTGTGGTCCCCATGGCAACCGCTTTCCGTTGGTCCCAAATGAACAAGATGGAACCAGAGGAGAAACGACACCTGCTGAACCGGGACATCGCTGTCCAGGTGGAGAGAGGCGGAGCCACACAGACACTCAGAGGACACCTGGACAGGTAGTTAGCATCCGGGCAGTTAAAGTAGCTCTGACCCCAGTCCTGGCGGATGTGGGTCGGTTGGAAACACAAGTTAAAGTTCCTTTGCTAAAAATGTTACTTAATTAACTCATTTAATACTCTAAGATTACATGATCAGACAGATACAAGTATACAATTATGTGCAAATTCTGATATTTTAAGGACTAAAGAATGCAAAACATACCAAAATAGTTTAATTTTTCATTACAAAATTAAAAATTGAGGCAGAAATGAACAAGTTTTGCCATAAAACCGTTGAAGCTTCTTACAGTTGGTTCAAAATCCTTGCATGACAAAAACAGGCGACAAATATTAAGTTACAGCAGGAAAATAAATGAAAGGTTTAAAAACAATGAAAATACATCAATGCTCCAGTTAGTGGTCAAAGGCAGATCTAAACTTGTGATGATTTAAAGGAACTCGGTGTCCTTCAGAGTCCTCCTCGTCGATGGTTTTCACGTTTCCAGATGTGTGTGCATACAAGCTGATTGCTGCTTTTCCATATTTGGTTCTGGTTCCGAACCTGCAGACCTGACAGAACCAGAAGGTTGACATACAGATCTTTAACGTACGAGTATGTATGGATTAGTTTCCCTAGATCTTACTGAGGCATCAGCCCTCTAATCCTGGAAATGAGAGAAGGCTGACTTTGTAAATGTCTTTATGTGGCTCTGAAGGTTCAGGTCAGAGTTCATCACTGAACCCTGATTTCAACATGATCTCTAGTTTCCAGCTGGAATCACTGAAGCTGTCTGAGTAAAGCTAACGAGTTACTAGCCAGATCAAGGTAGCATAAAGCTAACAACATCTTGGCGCCAGAAGACACCTGAACAAGTAGCTAGCACTAAAGCTAGCACTAGAGCTAACACTAAAGCTAGCACTAAAGCTAACACTTAAGACAGTTGCTGATAAACTGTAAATAGATTATCTTAGGTTTTGTGCAATTTGTTTAGTTTGACATCATTACGCCTGAAACTATTGGAGAATTGTGAAGCACAAAACTCTCAAATAAATGGATAAACGAAACAAACCACAGAGACGAGTTCTTACTGCCAGCCACGACGTGTCGGGAGATTTATTAACATGTCCTTTGTTTGAGGTATTTATTAACATACCTCAAACAGACATTGTTCTCAAAATACAATTTCCCAAAATCTCCAAAAATTTCCAGAAAATCTCTCCGTTCTTTGTGTCCAGACGTTTTTTATAGCTTCCAATGACGTCAAGGGTTTGAGAGAAGTTTTGACCAATCCAAATATCTATGTTGGTTTTGCGTCAAGATTCTGGTTGCCCATTGACTGAGTGTGTGTTGGAGTTTCCCCGAAATACTGATGACCTCTTGATCTGAACATCTGCTCCACACCAGAACTGCAAAGCAAGTCAATTAATAATAATTGTTGTTCTTATCTGTCCTCACAGTTCACTTTTCAACCCGAGTTTTGGTCCAACTTTTGTGCTTTTTCCAGGTCAGATCGACCTACTGGCGCCAGCAATCTTTTCTACAAAAACAACTCCTTAAAAAGTATTTCTGCTCTAACAAAACCGTCCCACTGCTGGCAGTTCATCTGACGCTAGCATACAGCTAATATGTTGCTGCTAACTGTTAGCTTAAGGCTAGCTACCAGTCCAGGAACTCTTTAATTATTGTCATTCAGTGATTTAATTTTTATTGCTCAAACATGGAGATGAATTCCTCTGGAATGTGTTCAGATCCTGTTAAGGTTCCATCTCCACATGTTGGAGAAAGAGAGCAAAGCCTGACGGGTTCTGCTCGGTGCTTCCAGGCCCGGTGTGCGCGCTCGCCGCAGAAGGAGGAAACTCGGCGCCCAGCTGGTGCAGGCAGGACGGAGGCTGGTGGCGTTTCTCATTGGCCTCCTGCTGGCCTTTATCTATGGACTGCTGGGCTTCGTGCTGCAGAAACAGCCACTGCGGTTCTGCGTCAACTCCACACTGATCCTGGCTGGGCTCATCGCGTTTGGCATGGGGCTGTCAGTCGGCCTCCGGGCCACCGTCATGGTCATGCTGCCCACCTTGTTCTCAGGTGAGTTGAGGCGTTCACCTGAGTCTGTCGGAGCTGGACGTTGTTAGTAAGCTGTTCGGTCTTCTGGTGCAGCACGCGGCGTCCTGATCCTGTTCGTGTCGGTGGTGGTGTCCGGGCCCATGAGGAACACGATAGTGAACACGGAGCGGGGCGCTGCCAGCGTGGTGTGCAGCGTCGAGCTGGCAGCCAATCAGACGAAAGAGCTGATGCAGAAAGCGGCCACGCCTCTCTTCTGTAAGACACGCCCCCTCAGAAATCATGTGGCATTAAAGGGGCATATTCTGCTTTTCTAGCCTGCTTTTCAATCCTGTTGACATCTAAATCATTCATGGCGGTCTGTATAAAGTGGAACTGTGACACCTTGGTCTTAATTCCTCGTTATCATAGCGCGACGTGATGACGCGTTTTGGCCCCGCCCCCCTAATTGATCAAAGGAGACCATCAACAGCAGATTCTTCATCCAGCCTTACATGTTAGAGCCAGAAAATGCTACCACCACATGAACGAACACAATTGCTAAACATGGTAGCTTAGTTAGCACGTTAGCTAATGCTAAAAATGTCACTGACTGCATTTGGATCATGTGTTCCTCAAGACCAAAACAGCAGAAAACTGTGCCAAACTGTTTATGTAATAATGCGATTCAAAGTGAATGGTTTTGTCCCGAAGGACCTTAAGCTAGCACACAGCGCTAACAAAAGCAGAGCACACAATGCTACTGCTAGGATGGCTAGGACGTCATTCCGACATTACATGTGTGCAGTAAAACACACAGCAACTGCACATTTTGATTTATCTACTTGTAACTTCCTTTAATTTTCACTACAAAATGGCTGCGAGAAATAAAAATAGTGGAGTCAAGGAAACTAGTTAGCTGGAAGTCCATGACCTTGTTTAGCTGTTCTGAGGCAATTAATGTCACATAATAGTTCAAAATATAGAATAGAATAGAGAATGCTGAACGGATTGAAAAATATGACCCAAACAGAATATAAAGAGATTTATGCATCACTGGACTGAACTTTTCTGCACACCAACAAATTGTATTTAAAGGCTGAAAAAGTGGATTTTGCCCTTTAAAATGAACAAAAAGTATTTAGGTTCTTCAGAATAAATGAATAATTTGTTGGGTTTGTTTGCAGCTGCCGTTGATGAAATCAGAAAGATCAGCAGAAACGCGTACGCCATGGTAGGAAGAGTCCAAAACTTCATCAATACGATGACAGACAGCGTCCGCCATGTTGGTCAGTCATCCTTCTGAACACAATTAGGCAACAAAAGTCTGTGCAGTGATCAAAGGTCCTCCATTGTTATCTTCAGGTTTTGGTTGCTTTGTCTTTTTTTTAAAAGTCTGTTTGTATAAGTTAACGTAAGCTTTGACCCCACAGCTCGGACCCTGAGGAACGTCCTTCACTTCCTGGTGGACATTGGAGACATTTGCAATGATAAAATGGGCGGTCCGTACAGGAAGTGCCGTGATCTGTTCGCCCAGGGTCGCAAAAACTGTAACAACCTGCTGAAGGAGTTCAACTTCCTTTGTCAAATCGTAGATGCCTTCCTGCCGCTTTGCAACCTCGCTCGTGGTGCGTTCACTGACATCACTTCCTGTAGATAATTGCTTTCACTCCAAAATTAAAACTATTGTTCACCTGGCAGTGACTACTTCCTTGTAGCAGGAGGCTATGGCCATTCTGAAGCTACTGATCTGATTAATGACAGACACTGGTCCTAGCTGAAGAAAAAACCACTAACTAGCATTAGCTTTGATAGGTTAATGCTTGGCAAAGTTCGGCTGGTCACCCACTGGAGTTCCTACTTCCTACTGCCTAACACCAATTTATCCAAGGCTAATGCTAACCAATACAAGGCTAACAATAGTCTGTACAAAGCTAATTTTAAGCAGTAAAAGGCTATCACCAGTCTGTGCAAAGCTAATGCTGACCAGTACAAGGCTAACACCAGTTTATCTGAGGCTAATGCTAACCAGTAAAAGGCTAACACCAATCTATCCTCGGCTAATAAACAGAACAGAAACAACACACTGGAAAAACACAAAATCTTTCCAAGAATGTTGGTTTAATTTCCAGTGCAAATATCTTAATACACTTGAAATAAAACAAAACCTAAATCTTAAGTAACTTTTCAGATTGCTGTAAGTCAATAATTTTGCATTGCTGAAAACTGATAATTGGTGGCAGATTATTGGCAGAAAAATGTCTTGTTATAAGCAGATTTATCTGCCAACGGAACTGGAACTTTTTCATCGATGTTAAACAATTATTGACTTTAAAGAAGCTGAAAAGTTACTTGTAAGTTAGTTTTGACTTATTTCAGGGATAGTTAGATACTTGCACTAGAAACTAGATCATATTTACTTGGTAGGATTTTGTATTTTTACAGTGCAATGAAAATGAATGATGATATCTCTGTAAACAAAATGGTCCTTCAAAAGAAATGAACAGTTCAGACTGAAGACAAAAACGAAAACTCATGCAAATTGAGTTTCATTAATTCATCATGTGATTAACTGATTTATTGATTATCGCAAATAACTTTGGTGTATTTCAGCTGGAGAGCTGTTCTGCATCATCCCGTCGTACGTAGCGGCCCACCTGAAGAAGCACCTGGCGGAGCGTGAGTGACCTCCGCCTGCAGTGAGTGACCTCCGGCTGCTGCAGCCGCCACCTAATCGCTCTCGCCTGTTTCAGCCACGGTCGCCGCGTTCAGGAATGATGCACGAGTTCGACTTCAACCTGTCGTCCACGGTGCGCTTCGAGGTGGACACCAACGCCAGCCGCACGCTGCATCAGGTCTACCAGGACATCCTGGCCCACATCTCCGCCGACCTGCAGAATTTCCAGGTGCTGAGCAAGGTGCTGGCCTACACCAACTTCGTGCTGCTGGGCTTCTCCTTCCTCAGGTCAGAGGTCACCGCTCAGCTGCACTCAGCCTCAGAAACACTCACGATAACGTGTCAGTGGCGTCAGTTTCCAAAATGATTTCAAAAATTAAATCTGAAAAGTGTGGCGTGCCTTTACATTCAGCTCACCTGAATTAACAGTGGAAAACGTTGTCCTATCAGTTTTAAACATCTACAGGCTTTTCGCTTTGTAAAGCAGCTTAGATTGGATGGAATTCAGGTCTGGACTTTGACTAGGACGTCGTGGAAATCTCAGGTATTCTGCATTTTCCTCCATGATTGTCCAGGAGTTTAGTTGAGTTTTAGTTTTCTTCCACTTCCTGTCTGCTGGTTGTTCTCTAAATAACTTATGAGACCAGAACCAGAACATCTGTGCTACATTTCATTTAGCGCCATCACAAATGCATGCCACACTTTTTAGATTTTATGTGAAAATATTTGGAAAACAAGGTTTAATAATAAGATCAATTCAAAGTGCTCCCTGCACTGCCATGCTGTCAGTTACAAAGTTTCCCATATTTGTGCGTGACGGCAAATGAGAGCTTTCATAAAGTATATTGTGCCACATTCTCTAGATATATTATAAATTATATTGTAGGAGGTATAGTTTTACTAAACCTTCTGTACATCAGGGTGTAAATACTGTGTGTGTGTGTGTGTGTGTGTGTGTGTGTGTGTGTGTGTGTGTGTGTGTGTGTGTGTGTGTGTGTGTGTGTGTGTGTGTGTGTGTGTGTGTGGGCAGGGCATTGATGTACCAGCGCCAGTACCTGCGGGATCTGCGCTTTGATAACTTATACATTAGCGCTCAGTTTAGAAAGCTGGACCAGCAGGTGGCGTCGGAGGGCGGAGCTTCGGTTCTGCCGCTGACGTGCAGAGAGGCGCAGACCTATGTGACGCCACGTAAGAACCGCCGCTTCACGTAGCGCTAACCAGAAGGCGCAGCAGCAGGTAGCGCTCTGCGTTTCTCTGCGTGTCTCTGCAGTGTCTCTGCAGTGTCTCTGCGTTTCTTTGCAGTGTCTCTGCAGTGTCTCTGCGTTTCTTTGCAGTGTCTCTGCAGTGTCTCTGTGTTTCTCTGCAGTGTCTCTGCAGTGTCTCTGCGTTTCTTTGCAGTGTCTCTGCAGTGTCTCTGCGTTTCTCTGCAGTGTCTCTGCAGTGTCTCTGCGTTTCTCTGCAGTGTCTCTGCGCCTGACGCAGCGGGAGCAGCACGGCATGCTGGTCCGGATGGCGGCCGTCTTCAGGCACCTGGTGGCGGGCGGCCTGATTGTGGCCATGGACTTCATGGTGTTCTGGATCCTGGACCAGGTGCACCACCAGGTGGAGGTGGACGTGGTGGCCAGAGGTGAGGCGTGATGCGGCATTGTTGTGTGGTCTCCATGGTCACGGCGCGTCCTCTCAGCCCCTTTCCAGGTGGCGGTCCAGGTGAACGGGTCGGGTTACTCCTCCGATATCTTCAGAGACCTGGTGGCGTCCTTCAACGTCTTCCAGACAGGAAACATCACCGTCATCAGCAGGAAGTGCCTGGTGGAGCCTCAGGAACCCGACCACAAAATCAACTTCCTGCTCGGTACCAGAACCAGAACCGGACCAGATCCAGAACAAGAACCAGGACCAGACCTAAAATTGTTCTGGTTCTGCAGGCTTCCTGCTGGGTATGGCTGCGGTCATCTCTCTGTTCAGCGGATTCGTTCAGCGCTTCAAACGGATCGCCTGTGCTTTTTATTATCCGGATCAGGAGCAGGTACTGAACACACTGCTGGCCATATGGAAGGCTATCCATATCAGAAAATAAAGAACGCTGCAGAAAACGTCCAAACATCGACTGGTTCCGGGTCTCAACCACGGCTGCAGTTAGCAATAAATTAGTTTAAATCACTTTAAATTAAATTTTCTTTCAGCTGCAGCAGAAATTTTGAACATATATTGATTTGTGGTTTGGTGAACTGACGGTCTGACAGAGACTCCCATCACTGTCCTTATGTTCTTGAGCATCGCGCTTAAACCGCAGGAGGGTTAAATATTCACAAAGAAGTTTTTGTCACATGTGTTAATATTCCTTTACCAAATAGTTTATTGTATGGATTTTGGCCTTTCTGGATTTCCGTAGAAGTGAGCCTGCTGTTCAGTTTTTGTTTATCTGCAGCTTTACAGAAGCAGATGTAGACTGCAGTTCAAATCAAACATCCGGCTGCTCCTTCCTGTTCAGCCTGGACTCTAAACAGGAAGTTAGCTTGTTGCGCCTGAAGCTACGCTAACATCAGTTCCTCCAATTGGGAGTCACCAGCAGCAGCTACCTGATGTCAGGTAGATTTCCTGTAAGCCCCGCCCCCTGCGACTCTAGGATCCAGGCTTTCTGCCTCCAGATGAAGATCAGCTGCTGTGGGTGAAAGGTCGCGGAGCAGAAAGGCATGTGAGGAATCTGGAGCAGGAATGTTAGAGAGGAGGAATCCGAAGGCAGGTCTGAACGTGACTGAGGCGCTCCGAGGTTTAACCAGGATATAACTGGATTTAACAGGATATAACTGGGATTTAACTGGGAAATATCTGGGATATTACTGGGATTTACCCAGGATTGAATGTGCTAATAGTGGAGCTAATTTCTGCTTAGCACTTTTGCTAACTTTGGAAACGTTTTTCAAATTTAGGGTCCACTAAATAAATGTACTTTTATTCAACTTCCAGTTGAGGAAAGTTTGACATCCATGTTGAAGTTTTAGCTCTCGACTGTTGAGAATAAAATAAGACAAGATCATAAATACAACAGCAAGTCGTTATAGAACATGCGGATCATAATGTGAAAACAACCAATATCATTAAAAGGCTTTAGCTTTTAAATTAGATTATAAGGACTTTATGTAGATATTAATTCAAGCAAATAAAATCTGGAGAGTAAATTTTTGTTTCAGATGTTTATAGGTGTGAACATCATATTTGCTCTAAATGCTAATGAAATGCTAGTGACATAAGAGTTATTAGCGTTTTTATTTTTCACTAAAGTCAATTTTTTAAATGGTTTTATGATGGTTATCAACACTTTACCATTAGCTTCTGCTAAACACCAGTTTAGTGCAGTACTCTAGTGTAGCTGTTGCTTATAACTAGTTCCTCAGTGTTAGCACAACTAGCTTTTTCATTAGCAGTGTCTGTAACCCAACCAATATTTTTCCTCCACCAAGCTTCCTGAACAAGAAGTGGATGAAACATCAAGTTTATGCTTCATGGTTTCCCTGAAACTGGATTCTTTCCTTCTTTAAATGAGTTGTAGTTCTGAACTGGAAGCAGCGGATGGATCCGTCATGCTGTTGGACAGAGGCTCCAACATGGCCTCTGATCTCCGAATGAGAGCGCAGGAACTAGAACCTCCAGGTGACCGGCCCTGCTTTGTGTTCTGCAGCAGAGGATCCGGTTCCTGCACCAGCACATCCTGAGCGAGAGGCTATCGGTGGGCCGGGCCCTGAGGGGGTCTGTGATCCGACACCTGGCCGACCGGGCCGCCGGCGCCGGCACCAGTTACATGCAGGCGCTGCTCAGGCGGTACCTTCATGCCACCAGATAACACAGATTATATCCAAAACAAACTAAATGTCCAGCTGAGCAGAAAAGTTCTGCTGTTTGTTCTGTCAGGCTCCCAGGTGGAGGCTACCTGTCCTCCCTCACTGGCTCCGCCCCCCTCACCTGTCTGGGCTGCAGCAACACCGTCAGGAAGAAGGAAGCCGGCGTCTGCGACGTCTCGGGATGCACAGAGAGACCGTGGTCCATCAGAACCTGACGAAGATCAGATCATCTAACGACATCAGAACCAGAACCTGCAGAAGATCGGATCATCTAACGACATCAGAACCAGAACCTGCAGATGATCGGATCATCTAACGACATCAGAACCAGAACCTGCAGAAGATCGGATCATCTAACGACATCAGAACCAGAACCTGCAGATGATCGGATCATCTAACGACATCAGAACCAGACCTGCAGAAGATCGGATCATCTAACGACATCAGAACCAGAACCTGACAAAGATCGGATCATCTAACGACATCAGAACCAGAACCTGCAGATGATCGGATCATCTAACGACATCAGAACCAGAACCTGCAGAAGATTGGATCATCTAACGACATCAGAACCAGAACCTGCAGAAGATTGGATCATCTAACGACATCAGAACCAGAACCTGCAGATGATCGGATCATCTAACGACATCAGAACCAGAACCTGCAGAAGATCGGATCATCTAACGACATCAGAACCAGAACCTGACAAAGATCGGATCATCTAACGACATCAGAACCAGAACCTGCAGATGATCGGATCATCTAACGACATCAGAACCAGAACCTGCAGAAGATTGGATCATCTAACGACATCAGAACCAGAACCTGCAGAAGATTGGATCATCTAACGACATCAGAACCAGAACCTGCAGAAGATCGGATCATCTAATGACATCAGAACCAGAACCTGACGAAGATCGGATCATCTCATGCTCCAGAAGTCGCTGCCAAAAATCAGCAGCAACAATTTGAGTTATTTAGAGAAAGACATGAGAAAAATGCAGGTTCATTTCTAATCATTTATTTATAATTGTCTGCTTCAAACTAAGTATTTAGTTAAATATTTAGCTTCAAACTAAATATAGCGAGTTAGTTGTTACATAACTAGCTCAATAGCTAGGAAGCTAACAAGCTAAGTATTTAGTTCCAATGTTTTGTAAATTGCTCTTATTTAGTTTAAAGCAAAATATTAAGTTAGAAACTAAGTATTTATTTTGTCAACTAAATTTTTAGTTTGAAAGTTTCACATTGAAACTTTGTGAACCTCCATTTTTTGTCAATGTAACTTTTTCACATAACTTTAAAAATGGCGCCTTATAATCAAAGTAACATTGACAGTTTATGCAGTGCAGATGTTTCTGTTTGTTATGGACCTGAAAGTACCAGAAAATCCCAGCAGAACCTGAACGCACCCTGACTCTGGTTCTGTTTTCCAGGCGTTTTCTGTCGGATGTGTTTCCACAGCCTGGGAAACGTCTGCGCCGTCTGCAGGCGACCTCTGACCTCCCTGGAAGATGGCGAGGAGGAGCTGTGAGTGTCTGGCCCAGAACCGGCACCAGAACCAGAACCACCATTTCAAATGGGACAGAACTGCAGAAAAACAGCAGAACCATCAAATCCGACCCAGAACAAAATACACCTCCCGGTTCTGACCTGTTATCTGCCGGTTCTGACCCGGTTCTTGCTGTTCCGCTCAGAGACTCCAGCGACGATGAGCAGCTCACCGTGAGGTCCGAGGTCCTGAACCGCAGTGATGACATCAGCGCCTCCAGGTAAAAACTCGCCCAGGTGAAGCTCCGCCCACTTCTCTGTTCCTCCATGTTAAACTCCTGAACGTCTGTTTTCCCACTCTGTCTGATGTCAGTGAAGTAGACATGGCGTACCAGGACCGGTCCGCGTCTTCGGATTCCGACAGCGACTCCGACGCCTCAGAAGTCCTCGCTGAGATCGGCGTTCAGTCGCCGGGTCGTCATGGACACCAACAGTCTGGTGGAGCAAAAACTGAATGTTTTGTACAATAAACATATTTTTACCTTCAGCTGAACTCCGTAGAAAAG